TTAATTATTTCATATTATGCCCCCACTTATACCTCTGTCTTAACCGGAGACAGTGAAGTTACAAAGATAACCCTGCAGTTGGACAGGATTATGGTACACCAGATTCCTACAGCCTTTTTTGTCACAGTGGAGTTCCTGTAGTTGCCTAATCATATTGAACAACCTTTCATTTATTTCAGGGCATTCTGTGCATGTTGTAAATACTGTTATGGATGATGCAGCTGAATTTCCATTGATTTTTAAATTAATTTTCAGGCATTTAAAAAGCAATTAGAAAAATTGTGCTCCAGATTTTAGTCTAACAGATCTTGGCCCTTGAACTAGATTTTTATTATAAGGAACCTTCAAATAAACAAATGTGTACTGAAAACATGCGAAAGACAGTGGAAATAAGGATAACACGGTCCTGGCAACTCTAACTTATACATTTTCAAGATTATAAAATACATGATTAATGCTGTTTCTGTTCCAGCATGATTTCATTTGATTCACATCCCACAAGATAGTTTGTGGCTCTGTTGCATTTCTAAAGTCTGCTATTGCAAATACTTCAGCATGTGCCTGACTTCAGTGGGACTATTCACAGCATCTTGAGTTAAGTAGTATAGAAGTCTTTGGTGATTTAAGGTCTATGAATATAATCTTATTCACTATAAGCTCTGAGGGACAGGGACTGTCTTTTTGTTCAGTATTTTTACCTTACATAGTACAATGAGGTTTTGGTATGTTACAGGGCTTCTATGTGATCTTGCAATACAGCTAATAAAAATAACTAGGATGCAAGGCTTGAAACAAATACTTCATTTTTAAAAAAAACCCAACAACCTACTATATGATTTTAAAGTTATTTTTTTCTAGAATATAATTTTATGTATATAAAAAACACAGAAAATACAAAGAAATGATGGACAGAGTGAGATTCTAACTTTCACTTTCCAGTTTAAATAGCTGCCATATAAATCCTTAATTTGAGTTTTATGTAATTAGGAATGGAGCTCCCCCTGAAGTATACAGGTGCCAACAGGCACTAGAGAAAGTACAGCAGAGCCCTTTTCTCTTAACAGTCCCCTTAAGGCATGGGATTGTTATTTCTTTAGCACGTTGATTTTTTTTCTTGTTGCTAGAGGAATAACTGAATCAAAGCAGGACTAAATTGCTGTTGAACTGATTTGTTACAGTTAGGAGACAGTATTTATTTTTTAAGCCAATCTGATAATCCCATTTCAGTGTTTGATTCATTGAGATTTATTCATATGACTATTTGATTCCTTTAACAGGGATTTGCTTGTTGAAGGTTTTTTATAGGCACAGGATGTGTGGGAACTGCTGCAACATCTCTTAAGTACTGTATTGGGTAGTTGCCTTAAATAGGTTAAATTTGCACATGTGTTGGCTGAGTGTGATGGTAAGAGGTTATGTGGCCTTTCATTTTCACCAGTTCAAAGCCACTCTAGATCAGTAATGGAGGAAATTCTTACCTTATGTTGGCTCTTCTATAGTCTTGGTCCAGTCAATAGCAGAACAGTATCTGCAGAATACAGACCACTACTACAGTAATTTGGCTTCCTTGCTAGCCTCTGCAGAGTGGCTGGAGATGGGAATAGAAATAAAGCTGTTACCCTGAGTGACTCAAACCTAAGCCATGGGTATAGAGGATGGGGAAACTTATATTGATACCAGGCCAACCCAAGAACACTTTTCTTTTTTTTTCCAGATAATGTGCAAGCTTTTTACGGGCAGCCAAAATTATTTCCTGACACATTTTTACTAATGTAAGTTTTACATAATCTAAATGTAACCTTTCTGCCAGGCCCTACCCTGCTGCCAGGGCCAGTTAGAAGGACTGAGTTCACATTTAGGGGTTTGACCTCATAGTAAAAAAGTAAAACCAAAAAGTTTGCAGTAAAAAAAATTTCCTTGGGTTGTCAACCATGCTTGACTGCAATAGTAGTTTTATACTGTGTTGCTCCCACATTCTGATGCCCCTGATTTCGCTCTGCACCATGCTTCTTCCTTCTGACCTCAAGCCCTACTCTTACCCCTGTCAGTTCTGCTCCCACCAGCCCAGCATGGATCCCCAAGAAGCCCACCTGTGACCAACAGTACTACAGGCAGCCTGGGATGTAGCAGCAGCAGCACATGGTTGGGAGAACACTCCTTGCAGGATGCTACACTCCCACTCAGACACCAGGTAGTTCTGCTATGCTATGTCTGCCAGAGCTTCAGTAAAGCTGCAAATGCTTAGCATTTTTACCAGTGGATAAAGGTTTTTAATGGACTTTACTGACAGCCATTTTTAGACTTTTTTACCAACAGTAAATTTACTGACAGTTGGCAGCCCTGATTGGCACCATCATCGATATACTTTCTCTAGGACCAAATGGTAGTCTAAATGGCTTCTGTGCTGGCATATTTCCCAATAATAAGTTCATATAAAAAGTAGTTGACACCATTTGTTAGGTCATCAGGAACAGAATCAGTTCCTGTATCATCTCCATTAACAGTGGAACATATATATTCAGTTTCTTTGGAGTGACACTCCAAGAGTACGCTGGCCCCAAAACTATGAAGTCGATGAACTGACACTGTATATAAGGCTCTCTTTTATTTTCTACTTCACAAAAAGGTATAGAGGAGGGACCACGTATGATTGCTGTGAGTCAAATTGCTTAGCACATTTTTGGAAGATATCTAGAAACTGTGATGACAGATGATGTCTAAAAACCTGAATAGAATTTGTTAAGAAAAATTAAACAAAAACAAAACCCTGAGAAATAGCAAACAAACTCTTTGCTTAGATATGGCATCACTGTCTACAGGACTGTCCAGCTGGTGGTCTATGAGTAGATGAGGGAAAAAGGTGGGGTGGGGCAGACGACAAGTGGTGGCATTTACCCCCTGAGAAGTGAACCAGTGCAGCGGCTCTAATAGCCATACTGACAAGTCTGTTCCCTGCCACAGCGGGGGTGGATTGTCTGGCAAGTGCCATGCCCCGTGGTTCAGTTTTGGCCTGAGGTCAAATATATTGGACAGTGCTGGTATAGTACATAGGATTCTGCTTTGTGAATCAGGATATCTGGGGTCTGTTCTTGATCAGTCTCTGAACCACTCTATGACTTAACCAAAGCATGTTGCCTTTCTCTGCTTTCTCCTCCTCCTAACATTTGGCTGTCTACTTTGTAAGTTCTTTGGAGAAGGGACTGTTGTTTGCTTTGTTTTTTCTCAATGTGGGATCCTGCTCTTTTTAGGGCCTGTAAGTGTGACTGTGATACAGATAATATTTAGAAAAGGTAACGCTCAGACCCTTCCTGCTGCCTTCTGCCTCCTTACATTTCTGATGGAAGACTGTGGGAGTAGTACTGCCTAGACAACAGTACTGACACATTGTGGACTTCATCTGAAAATGTGTATCCTGTACTTGTTTTTATTATAAGGCAGTTACTGACTGCACCCATAGACAACAAGAAAGCCATTTTTCTCTGTTTGCTTGAAAAGTCTGTTTGTATAAAGTATTTGCTCCCATGACATGTCCTCACATTGGGCTCCTTGTATCATTCCTGTGGTGTGTAATATGGTAGCAGATTTAGTTATTCCTGTAGTATGTCCTCCAGTGCATCCCATGTTAAGTGATTGGAAATTAATTTGGTTGTTGGGCCTGAATGAATGAACAGCTGTGTAGTTAATTATGCAGAATGGTATAGAAAAATGTAGTGTTAATGTTTTATGCTCTCATTATCCCTGCAGTATGGAATGTATTTTTCAACCTGAAAATGGCTAAGGCAATATTTCCCACATAAATAATTTATTAGAGACTCGGTATGGTAGGTAGCTTTCTCTTCCTTCATTTTGGCAGAAAGGAGGAGTTGAGAATGTGAAGATCTCTGTGCAACCCTAAGCTATTTCTTAAATCTGTGTATAACCCTATGCCTGGTTTGGTGGTGGTACTGGGGGGAGAGGGGAAAGAGTTGTGATAAAATGCACCATATAACAAGACCTAAATAGCCTGCTTTCTATTGCTGTTAGGCAGTACAGCAGGTCTACCAAAGGGTAGTCTGGTTTACCTTCTCTGCCACCTCTCTTTGATGGGCAGACAAGAAGTGCAGAGCACATGGTACTGTGGTTAGGTATGTAATGTAACTTGGAACAAGAAATGTTATTAGAAAATGAAACGAATTGATATTGATTTAAAACTGTTCTTTGTGTGTTTTGCTGTGGAACTGTGGTATAGAACCTTGCTATCTGAATTTCTTATGCAATTTAAAGGAGAAAGTATAAATGAAGCAAAGGAAAAGAACACATTTTGTCCAAGAAGGGCAATCTCCTCTCTGTCAGGAATTGTCATAAGATCATGAATGTCTCCATAGAACAAACAAAACAGTGGACCAAATTCATTCCTCATGTAACCCCATTGATTTGGATCATTTGTTTTTAAGTCTTGCAAAACAAAATATGTGAAATTCAGTTTCCCAGTAATAAAAGGACTAACAGTTGAATCAGTTTTTAGTGGAACCCAGATATTACAACTTTATATAAAGTTTTGCAGGTCATCCCTTCAGCCAGGCAAAAGTGAAAAGACTGTGTGGTCCTGGTTTTACAGTTTACAATTCAGTTTACAAGGAAGGAGAGGCTGAGGTCCCCCTCCAAGACTGTTCCAGGATAACATTAGAAGTCATGAACATTTCAGTAGAAAATATTGGCACATTGGAGTGTGAGACAGTGATTTCCCCCCCCCCCTTCAAGTATTTGGAGGCTGTTATCACTGCTTTATCTTAATTTTTACCATATGCTGTCCTCATTTTAATTTTGCAATGTTGCTTTGGGATATAATTTATATGGACAAATGTGTTCAAAAATAAAATTGTGCTGTATTGAAGTATGATGACCAAGGCCTGAGAATTCTTTTTCTCCCATAAAGTTCCCACTTTTAATATGGGTATCTAAGATGTATATAGATACCCATATT